GGAAAAGTATGGCAAGTATCTGAAAAGAGCTCTAAAGAAGTGATAAGAGTGTGAAGAAAGAACCCTACTTCAAAAGTAGCTTCAAACGGTACTCGTGGATTGTAGAGATGAGTTTATTGGTATCGGTCTCTTGTAAAAGATTAGAGCTCCTAAACTAAGTAACACATGAGCAACGGATTATACGAAACCATTAGTCTTATCTTAAGAAAACTTAAGAGAGAGTATTTACCTCCTTACTTGAATGATTTGTAGTGGATTCTGTCCTAAGTAAGCAATCATTTTAGAAGAGATATTCGAAGGATCCGCTTCGCTACACTCGTCCAGCAGGTCATAAAGTATCTTAACTAGTAAAGCATGACGATCGCATGTTATTGCTCCCTGAAACACGGAACTATATAAAACCACAAAGCAAGAGTATAACTGATGACACATAAAGACACACCTCTGAGATGAGTGATAAGGCAAGTTCTATAAACGGTTGTGTAGAGCAATCCATACGTTTGATCAAGCCAGTATAAACGTTGTGCACCATGAAATCATGCTAAAATTCTCGTTATCAGCTACATTTACATCTACTTGTACCTCCTTCCTAATCAAGTAGGTCACAGACCAGCATGTCTTAGAGATTTTGATTTGCATTTGCGATAAGTGGAGCGAAAAATGTTATATCGACTGGAGGGATAGAAATTTACCAACACAGAGCCTACCTCTCCAGAAGCAACAGCGATTTGCAGTAAAATATATCCACTTGTAAGTTGAACGATCTCTTGATTTATTAGACGTAAATCTAAGAAAAATGGAGTAAAATGCACATCGCAAGAAACTTAATTAACCTAGATAAGCACATGCGTCCCCATATTGACAAGTACGTAACCTTTACGTGCATAGATCAGGATGCACAAAAGAGTGTTAACAGCGTCTATCACTTTTGTAGAGAGACCAACATCAACACCGTCATCAACAGCTGTAAGACGATCAGCTAATTCCAGCTCGAGTCTTTCTTGCAACTCATTCTCCTGTTCTGAAAGGCCAGCGCAGACCCATATCAAAGAAGGTAAATCGTCCTTCT